ATGATTTTTTATTAACATTTATTTATTTATTTATTTTGGAGAGGTTTTTGCTATAGGGCTTGTGCGCTCCCCAGAAAGACAGAGAGAGACAGAGAGATAAAAAGCGAGAAATCACCCCCCAGGGGGGATGGCCATGCCACAATCCCTTCTCCTCCATTCTCCTCTCGAGATCTTGGGCATGCACGCACACACGTCTGGCATGAGTTTAAGCTGCCGGGTCTGGGACTCAAACCACGGTCGACTACATGGGAGTCCAGCGACATAGCCATTACACTAACTGCTGGTCCCGTGGGTGAGAATTTAAGAGCAAAGAAATGCTGAGAAAGTTGACATCTGGTAAAATGGAAGGGGAGCCCAACGCTATTTGCATTATTTATGTATCAACTGGCCATTCTTCAAAAGGCCCTTTACAGCAGAAGCTGGGTACTGAGCTTATAGTCAATGGTGCCTCCACTCCTGACTCTTTTGGGAAAACAGCCCATCTGGAAACACAGAGATAGCTTCTCAGCTAAATCCATTACTTAACCTGACTCCTACTGCATGCTGCCCAGGCTTGCCCTGAGCGGTCAGCACGATGCCTGGAAGTGGGTCTGGTGCTCTGCTCTGCACCTTCATCCCTAGGACACCTATCAGGAGCTGCCGCCAGCCGTGCCCACGCCCGGCCGAGCTCAGCACGGGGCGGACAGCTGGGTGACCGCGGCGGAGACGCACGGTGGGCACGGCAGAAGCCGGTGGAAGCTGGCGAGGCACAGAACCCTACTGTGAAACAAGGCCACGCTATTCAGGAGTCGCCTCAGTGTTTAGTCACTGAGACGTACGTGCACCGGGCGACGGGGCCGGCTGGGACCCTTTGTCCTTCCTGAACGAAACTGCTTCTGTTTACTGAAGCCTAAAATTCGAGCTGACAGCAATTCACTGTGACAAAGTGGGCTCCTCCCTGCCTGCCGCCCGAGCGGGTCTCGTTCGTGCCCTGGAGACCCACTCGCCTCTCGGTGGTCATCTGCCCAGGGGAGGAAAATAGGGCAGTGCCGCGCGTGTCGTCGGGCAGGGGAGGAGCCCCGCGTCGGCTGCCGGGACCTCACCTCTGCACCGCTGCGCCTCCCTCTTGTCCTGCTCCAACACGTCTGTTGCCTGCAGCGAGAGCTGGTCCAGCATCTGTCTGCATTCCCGCAGCAGCGCGGCGACGGTCCTGTGGTCACCCATGGCGAGTGTGCGCTCCAGGACGAGCCGGGACCAGCCTAGGGAGACCAACGACCTGAAGGGAGACACCAGCTCTCAGTAGGGGCCCGGGGCCGGAGGGACCTGGCGAGCAAGAGACAGGACGAGGACCAGCGCAGCCACTGCCCCTGTAAGAGTGAGCGGCCGGAGGACCGTCCAAGGGACTGTCCGAGGGCAGCCTGTGGCAGCACTGTGGCCAGGCTGGGTGAGCACCTGGAAGGCAGAGGGGCCCTGGTGGAGCCCACGAGCACTGGGACGATGCGGGCTGCACAGCCTGTGAAACGAAGCCCTCAATTTCCACGTCTCCTTCACGCCCCCCAGCGGCCCCTGGGTCCCACTGGCAACCACTCCCTGCCCCTCTGGAAGTCTACAGGGAGCGCCTGGCGGACAGTCTCGTATTCGAACTTAGCCTGGTCCGATCAGGGCCCTGCTGATTTCCCTGGCAGGGCCTCCACGGACTAAGCATCGCAGAACCGGGACCAGGGTGTCAGAGACACAGCAAATTCAGAGCTCTTTACGGCCTGGCGCCCTGCCATGTGCAGTGCAGAGAGGGCGGCCAGAAATCCCAGCCCCGGTTCTGCCACAAGGCAATCTGTACAGCATCTGCTTCGTCGCACACCCAGCCGAGGGCACGTGGGCGGCAGTCAGGGAGCTTCAGGGACAGAAAAACTCACAGAGGGCGTCCGAATGCCTGCAAGTAGTCACTTGGTTAACAGATCTTTTCTCCTGCCTTCCCTTTGTTTAAGAACATGTGTAGTGATCTAAACAAAGAAAGTTTCTTTCTGACTTTCCCAGGACAGTGGTTCGACTGTGGTGGAGACACGTGGTCGGGCACATGGAATTTCATCACGGAGCGAGAGTCTGAAAGGGGAGGAAGGCAGGGCGATGGCTCTGGTCTCTCCGAGCTGGTCCGGGCAAGGACGGGTCACCGACAGCAGAGCGGCAGGGAGAGTCTATGCTCTGCTCCCCAGCGGCCCTGGCAGGCGCTCGCTGCTGGATTTGACATGGCAAGAAAGCCTCCTCCCTCTCTCCTGCGGCCGTATGCCTTAGCAGGGACAGTGAAGGAGGAGCTTCAGGGTTTTGTGGTTTTCACACTAACCTGGCTGGCTGGTGTAGCTTATACTTTTAACACACACACACTTTTCACAGCCAGAACTACTTCAGTAGCAAAGCACTAGAATATTCCAGGTTTGTTTCATTAAAAATAATCCTGAGGGCCAGGTGGCACGGAGGTTAAGGTGGCTAGATCCCACATGGCCAATTGTGTGGTTCAAGTCCTAAATCTGCAGGCTTGAAAACCATGCAGGCACATGCACATGCATGCCCCAAATCATGAGAGGACAGGGAAGGGGTTGCAGCGTGGTTATTCCCCCTGGGGGGTGATTTCTCACTTTTTCTCTCACTCCTTTTTCTTTTTTCTTTTTAAAGAGTTATTTAATTTTATTCATTATTATTTTCTTTCTTTCTTTTATTTTTAAATTCTAACAATTTATTTTGAATTGACCAGAGAGACACAGAGAGGGAAAGTGAGAAAGTAAGTCACCAGGTCTGGGACTTGATCCACGGTTGGCCATGTGGGAGTCCAGCACCTTTACCACCATGCTACGTGCCGGCCCCCACTTGCCCTCTCTCTGTCTCTCAGGGGCATGTGTATACTGTAGCAAGACTTTAAACAAAGAGTTGAGCTAGCCAGAGGCATGGTGAAGGCAACTGGATCCCACAGGGCTGCCTGTGCGCACTGGGTCCATGGTCTAGTGGCTTGAAAAACACGCTGGGCACACGTGTGCGCCTGCCCAGAGGCCCTACAGGAGACTGGATGAGAAGGGATTGCGGTATGGCTTCCCACCCCCACCCGCTTTCTCATTCCCCCTCTGCCCATGGCGAGCACATGCGTGGGAGTCCTCCAGCAAAAAAGAAAAAGAAGAAAAGAAGCCACATGTGCTGGTGAACCACCTGATCAGGGTTCTTGAATATCAGCTCCCCTCGCCTGAAGAGCCCCTCCCGAGGGACAGGGGACGCGGGAGGAGCCGGCTGGATGCAGGCTGAGTACAAGGACAGCGTCACCTCCCACATGGCATTTTTTTTGCCTGGCCGGGTGGCACGCACGTGGGGGGTTCTGGCTCCCTCGAGCTCCAGACGAAGTAGGCCAGACGCCACGGGGTCTACCGCCATGTGGGCTCACACGTCTGAGTCACAGAGGCAGAGCAGGCGGGTGCTGCCGGGGTGGGGCAGACGGGTGGGAGGGGCTGGCCACCCGAGGGGGAGCTCACGGGCCTCCCGACCGACGGCCGGGGACTCTTGCCGGCGGGTGGGCCTCCTGAGGAAGGAGGTCGCGGTGCTCCCACAGAATCATTTAAGATGACTAATCAACTAGCTCTACTTAGCCGCTGAGATATGTACACATCTAAAAACATTGTTATTCACCATCAGTACCTTCAGCTGTATTTGTTACACTTCGCAGATACATCCACCGTGTTTAATTTAAAGTGATAGTAGGTACTACAGGTACAACACAGCAAGGAGGCCGCGGGTAGTGTGAGGTTCCAGTGCTGGCCGGAAGGAGGGGAGGTGCTATTTACTGATTTAGGGGGTGTTTTTGTTATAGAGTGTGTGTGCTTACCAGAGACACAGAGAGACAGAGAGAAAGTGAGAAATCCCCCCTAAGGGGGCAAGGTCACATTGCAATCCCTTCCGCACTTTCCTCTTGGGATTTTGGGCACGCACCCACAGGTGCCTGGTGTGAGTTTCAGGCTGCCGGGGCTGGGACTTGAGCAGCAGTTGCCACGTGGGAGCCCAGGGCTGCAATCTCTATACCTCCTGCTGGCCCTGGGAAGGTGTTAATTTTAGGCTGATAAAACTGAGGTGATCTCTAAAACTTGGAAATAATACATATAACTTTGAAATTAGTAGAAGGAAATAAAAAACAAATAATTCAGAAGGAGAGAAAGGGAGAGAGAAATGAGGGACAAGGTAAATAGGAAGCACAGCATAAGATGGTAAAAATGGATTTTTTTAAAGACTTATTTTTTGTAAGTTAACTTTATTCATTTATTTAAATTTGACCAGAGAGGGACAGTGTGTGTGAGAGAGAGGGAAAGTGAGAAAGCAAGCTGCCAGGTCTGGGACTTGAACTGCAGTTGGCTATGTGGGAGTCCAGTGCCCTTAACCACCACACCACCTGCCAGCTCCAGTGGTAAAAATCATTTCAAGTAAATCGGTATTTCTAATGAATGAACTCGATGCTATGGGAAAAGATAAAGATGGACATATTTTAAAAATAACCACATGGGGACCAACAGTTGGCATAATGGCTAGGTTGCTGGATTCCCACGTAGTTGACCGCAGTTCGAGTCCCGGACCTGGTGGCTTAAACTCATGCCGGGCGTGTGTGCGTGTATGCGTGCCCGATATCCCAAGAGGAGAATGGAGGAGAAGGGATTGTGGTGTGGCCATCCTCTGTGGGGAGTGATTTTTCGCTTTCTGTCTCTCTGTCTCTCTCTGTCTTCCTGGCGAGTGCACGCACCCTATGGCAAAAACCTCTCCAAAAAAAATAAATAAATAAAAAAATAAATAATAATTACATGGGTTTTACTAAAACATGATTCAGAAAGAATATGTGAAAATGGGAAAAGGTATATTAGAACAATAGTAATGAAAAGAAAGTTGGGGTAGCAATATTAATTTAGGTAAAACAGATTTTAAAGCAAAAATCATCCTTGAGATGAAAGGATCCCTTCCCAGGGTTCCTGGCCCAGCTTGCCCGAGGCACGGCGGCGGTGGCAGTGTGCATCCAGGGGCACCCTCGGCTGCCTGAGGCAGACCCGCGTCCACAGCAGGGGAGCAGCCCCAGACGGCGGCAGACAGCAGGCCCGTGAGGGAGTCAGGCCTGGACCGATGCACTGACGAGCTCGGCCTGAGGATCTGGGGACACGCGGGGCGGCCCACGGCTAAAGAGCACTTGCAAGCACAGCTGGGAGGGTCCCAGAGCAACGGCCCTGGACCGCAAAGCGAGTCTCAGCGAGGGGCCGGGGTACGTGGCCCAGGCAGCACCGGATGTGGATGGCCAATGCCAGCCGAGCGACGGGAGGGAGCACGCGTATGAGGGATTCAGGAACAGGATACAGGAAAGAGAGGTGCTTCCAGGCGCCCACGGTCAAGAAGGCGGTGTCATGGAAGTCCCTGTGTGGAAGTGGTGAATGTTACCTATTAAATGTGTAGGATTCAGTCAGGGGCCAGCAGGTGGCGTGGTGGTTGAGGCACTGTACTCCCACGTGGTCAACCATGGTTCGAGTCCTGACCCTGGTGGCTTGCTCTCTCTCTCCTTCTCTCTGGTTAAATTAAAATAAAAACAAATAAATTAATTAATAAAGTTAAATATAATAATTCTTTAAAAAAAGAATAAACAAAAAATAAGGGGAAGACTGCTATACCAAATGCTAGTAATTAATATAAAAATGTTATTAAATGATATAAAATTTATTGGCACTTAGATAAATTGATCTTATATAAAGAGTCCAGAAAGAGACCCACATAAGCATGAAAATTTTTTTTTATTACAGAGCTCAATATATGGCATTGAGCCAGTTGCTTTTTAAATTTTTATTAAAAAAAATTACTTATTTAATATTAGATTTCTTTTTTCTTTTTTCTTTTACTATAGGGCACACGCACTCACCAGAGAGAGACAGTAAGAAAACAAGCTGCCACGTCCTGGACTTGAACTACAGTCAGCTGCGGGAGAGTCCAGCGCCTTAACCGCTACGCCACCCGCTGGCCCTGAGTGCACACGGCACGTGTCTGGGAAAGTCTCCTCGCTGCCTTTATCCCAGCTACAGTGGGGCGCTGGAGGGTCTGAGGAGGGAAAGGCCGGGAGGTCTGGGTGGGGACTCAGAGGCCCCTCCCCGGATGTCCCAGAACCGCTAGCAGAGCCCGGCTTTGACTTAGAGCAGAGAGGGCTTCCCCGTTACAGTGAACATTCTAACTTTCAGTGAAACGCGCTTTTATTGGTGGGAAGCTTAGAAATGTGGACTGCCATTTTCTCCAAGGGGCCAGCCAGGCGTGCTGTTCTTCCCTGACCTCACGCCTCTTCACGTGGCGGTTTCCCTGACTTGAGATCAGGATGGGGAAATGCACACACTTAAAAAATCCCAGCCCTGGGGCCAGCAGGTGGCGCGGTGGTTGGGGTGCTGGACTCCCTCATGGCTCACTGCGGTTCGAGTCCCAGACCTGGTGGCTTGCTTTCTCACGTTCCCCCTCTCTCTTCCTCTGTCTCTCTCTAGTCAAATTAAAAAAAATAAAAATGAATAAATAAAATTAAGTAAATAATTCTGAAACAAAACAGAACAGCGTTGCACAGCCCAAACCTGCGATTCCCACCTGGGGCAGGAGGGGCCGCAGAGGGGCCGTCCCCCGGGCACTTGGTCCCTATCTGTTAGATGGTGGCCTTTCGGGTGGCTTCTCATCTGACATTAATACATTTGGGAAACACTTCTCCAAATGAATCAGCGAAGGACGGACGGGAGTATAACGATGCGATTTTTATTTTCTAGGAAATGACGAAACCTCATTGTCAATGATAATTCTTCATGGAAAATGTGCCAACCACACAAACACGCCATGAAAGAGCATGAACACAACCATGGTGTCCTGAGGCCAAAATAACTCATTTGTTATATGAGAGCCAGAGGGCTGAGTTCCTAACAAGGGAGAGGCTGCAGTGGCAGGGCCGATGGCGCGGAGCTGAGCAGACCCCACTGCAGGTGCTTTCTCTCTGCACCTCTGGCAGAGGTACATTAAACATTTTTTAAGAAAGAGTTCACCAGCAGATAGTGCAATGGTTTTGTCACTGGACTCCCACATAGTCAACTATGGTTTGAGTCCCAGACTCGGCAGCTTAAAACTAATGCCGGGCACGTGTGTGTGCGTGCCCAAAATCTCAAGAGGAGAATGAAATTGGGACTGCACTGTGGCCATTCCCCTGGGAGTGATTTCTTAGGACCAGCAGTTGGCTAATGGCTATGTCGCTGAACTCCCATGTAATCGACTGTGGTTCGAGTCCTGAACCCGGTGGCTTAGACTCACGCCAGGTGGGTGTACGTGAGTGCTCAGGATCCTGAGAGGAGAATAGAGGAGAAGAGATTGCGGCATGGCCATCCCCCCTGGGGGGTGATCTCCCGCTTTCTGTCTCTCTCTGTCTCTCTGTGTCTTTCTGGCACACACATGCGCCCTATAGCAAAAACCACTCAAAAAAAAAATAAAAGAGTTCATTTACTTTAGGAAATATTTTCACATGAAAACATCAAGATTTGAGGTTTGCTATAAAATACTTGGGTTTTAGGGGTCGTCGGAGAAGGTGAGGGTGCTTGGCTGGGTGGCTGGGGTGGTTGACGGCCCGGCCCCAGCCAGTCCAAGGGGGCAGGTTGGTGTACGCCTGCTGCACTTTCATACTTACTTGAGATGTTTAATAATAAAAATTTTTAAAGGATTCTGTTTTGAGTACTGCAAGCAAGAAAGCGCGGTCTCCATGACCTGAGAAGTGAGGGGCTGGAATGATCTTTTTCCCTAGGTTTTTGACATAGGGCACAAGACTCTCCTAACAGACAGGACCAGGGAAGTGAGAAACCGCCCCGGGGCCTGGCCTCGCAGTCCCCCTCCTCCTCTCTCCTCTCAGATTCTGAGCACACCTGCCCACTGCGCCAAGTTGCAACCCACCAGAACTCGGACGCAGCGGGCCTGGGGTGTTCAGCGCCCTAACTGCCATGCTATCTGCTGGCCCCAGCCTGGAACGCCCCACTGGAGCTCTGACCGGAACTCCGCCTGGGCCAGCTGGCCAAACTCTGTCCCGAGGGCCTGCTCAGCAGGGACTGAGGCCGGCCCACCGTCTGCCCTGCCAGGTTTGCTTTAATCAAACCCCAGT